GTATGTGCTTTCATATCTGCTACCTATCCATTTGAAATCACAGTGAAGATGTGCCATAATTCCGCTGTCAATTTAACTAGAATAGATTCGGATCCCAGTTCGTCATTAAAAGGTTATCATTTGTGATAACGTCATGTTATCACAACTGATGCATTCCCATGTACGCTAAGTCCTCCAGAGCAGTAGCTTTTTGAAGATTCTCAAAGATTCCCATACAAATTTGGGTATGTCTCCTATTCTGATCTAAAATCAGTGCCATAGATGTGTTTCATCAGGCTTTACTACAAAGACACTTAGTAGGGTTTAGCATAGTAAACATTATTTATCCACCGGCCTAGTATGTACAGCATTGATAATTATATCAGCTCTGTACATGCTTTTCTTACTTGTACTAATGCCTTACTTGCTAGCCAGTTCGTTAATTCATTACATTTTACACCTGTATGCGCAGGTATTTAGGTGAAGAAGAAGTTAATGCTGAGGATCAACTGAGAGAATTCACTTCACTGCAGCAGGTTTTATCACAAATGCATCAATCTCAGGGCTAGCTGAGTTACTTAGTTAGTCGACACTGCACATCGAACCGTTTGGTTCATAAATGCTTGGATCCCCTCAGTAAATTTGGTGGTATGCAACGGCTGACGATACCAGTTCTGTGTTGGTTACTTATTCTTCTTTGGCTTCCTGCATAGTGTTCTTGTCTGTCAACATCAGTCATTTGGTTCTCGCAAACATCTAATTTCTCGTACAGAATTCCTTATATCAGCATGGTCTATGATCCATCTCTAGCTTCCTTAGCATACTCACAGAGTCACTGAGAAAGCATGAGTAGTTGAAAGTCTGTGTCTCCAGCCATGTTATTGTTTTGATCCAGCAATGATTCCCAAAGATCTCTTAAAAACCTCACTCATGAACCAAATGACACAGCCATGAAAGAAACACATGACCTTCACAGTGTGAGGCAAATGACTTGGCCACATTGCAACAAAGGACACCTCCCCACCTCCGAGGGGAGATAAATAAATGAAGGTGAATTTGGGATAACAGGGAAATAGCAAGTAGCACCACAAATCCATACTCATCATGGCATATATATGGTGCCAACATACCTCTGCAACAGCATAAATATTTTTACAACAAAGCAGGTTGCAATATAAATTATACATGGTAACAATTTACTCTGAGAGCAACACAGATAATTACAAAAGTGGGCTGTGTTTATGACATAAATCTGATGAAAAAAGTATGATATAGACATTATTAACATAATCATGCAGTTACCTTTCACATGTGTTGTTAGGGGAGAGTTTTCCAAACTGTCTGCTGGGACTCACTAGTGTGTAGGCTGCAAGGTGAGGGTGTGTTATGTTGTATTCTGAATTACATGTTGGCATCTTTCTGTCTTTCCAGACGATAGTGTTATAGTGTGCTATAAGAAGGCATGGGACTCGCAGCCCATGGCGTTGGCGAGTGGAAATAGCAAGACCCGCCCGTGTTAAGATACATTTTTTCAAATTTGTGGACTCCCCTCCAGGGAAAAAAAACAGACTCACTGCTCCTTAACTATTATGTTGTAAAGGACATAATAAGTGATTTTTAAAACAAAATAAGATGTGTTGGGCTGATAGGTGCAGATATCACAGCCTAGCTGTAAACGATAACACAATGTGCTAATCCGGTTGTTTTTTTTCAAGGGCGAACATAGTAGGAACAAATATTCTGCTTGCTCAGACAGCTGCTGAGTTGAGTCAAGAAATGATATCACAGCACTCAGTGCATTCCCATGCGTGCCCCGTCCTTATTCTCAGCAGCCAGCGCAGAGCTCCAATACTAATGATACCAGTCATAATCTGGTTATATGTCTGTCCTGCCTTTCCCCTGAGTGTAGTGAGCTGGCCAGACCCTCTGGATACACCCAGATGCCTCATTCTCCCCAGGCCATAATAATCTTGTTTCGCTTCTGACTCTGTTGCTTGTTCCCAAAGAGCCCTGACCACATCTGCCTTGTCATGTATCAATTCACCACCCAGTGTCTATGGTTGGGGTGGCCATTAAAGTGAGTACCAGAACCTTCCATCCCTCTCCACACCCAAAACAATAAAAGAGGAGTGAACTAGAAATGCAGCTTTTTTGCCCAGCCTGTTAAGAAATGGTTATCAATTATACACTTGCATGTAGCTTTCATATTTAAAGGTCCCTTTTTACGCCTTTAGGCTTATTGGAAATATAGGGCTAGATCTACATGTTTATAGCCCGATCAGCACTTGGTGGGTGATGTGGTCAGCATCAAGCCGGCTGGGCTTTCATATTTGATTAAGATGTAAAGTTGCTAGATGGGTAATTCTGATATTTTGAGATTAAGAATTTTTGAGCCAATATTTTGAGACAGGAAGGTCTCTGATCATTTAAATGGATAAGACTGCAATATTCTGACACAAAGAAGTTTGTTGCAAATAAGAGAATGCCTGTGGTGTTTTGAGACTGAAGTTTTGAGATAGGGCAGTTTGTGATGTTTCTAAAATGGGAATATGTATGGTGTTTTGAGATGAGAAATACTGATATTTTGCAATGGGAATCTCTGTGGTGTTTTAAGATAGGGCAGTTTGTGATGTTTTTATATGGGGATGTTTGTAACATTATCTCAAGATGTGCCTGAAATCAATGAGGTGTTAAAGACTGACATCTGTAGATGAGAAAAGAATGTCATGAAATTTGCAGATGGGAAAGTGTGATATTCTCAGATGGGAAAGTGTGATATTCTCAGATGGGAAAGTGTGATATTCTCAGATGGGAAAGTGTGATATTCTCAGATGGGAAAGTGTGATATTCTCAGATGGGAAAGTGTGATATTCTCAGATGGGGAAAAGTGATATTCTCAGATGGGAAAGTGTGATATTCTCAGATGGGGAAAAGTCTGCATTGCAATGTTGCTATGGACAAGTGTTTTGTGATGGGACAGTCTGTGACATAATTCATATGTTCACTACTTAAAACTAGGAACACTGTCAACCTCTAGCTTCTTCAATGCCAGATTCAAATTCAATCCATCCTTTTATAACTAATCTCTGAACAGCAGATTAGCTGCCTAGCCATCGTGTAAAATCAGTAAAAGCTGGACTCTATAAACAAAAACAGCCTACGCAATCAGTAAAAGCTGGACTCTATAAACAAAAACAGCCTACACAATCAGTAAAAGCTGGACTCTATAAACAAAAACAGCCTACACAATCAGTAAAAGCTGGACTCTATAAACAAAAACAGCCTACACAATCAGTAAAATCTGTACTCTATAAAAAATAAGTCTACACAATCAGTAAAAGCTGGACTATATAAACAAATAGTCTACGTAATCAGTAAAACCTTCTATACTTATCTAGGGATGAGGGAGAATTGACCCACTGCTTCCCTATCAAGCATGTCGTAAAAGGCAACTAATTAAAAAGTTTTTCTCTGAAGTCACAGCACATCTGTTCAAGGGGTGAGGAGCCAACAGTCTGCACATAAATGAGATTTGTAAAGATATGCACTCAGAATTCAAGTTCTGGAAGAAGACCAAAGCCCGAAAGTGGACAAACAAACTGAACTTTCTGCCAGAGTTTACAGCACATGAACAAGATGAAAAAGAAAAAGACCCAACTCCAAAAGCAACAAGTGGCCTCAAAAATTAACAATAAGAGAACTTTCTCAATAATGACACTAAACTTCAAAATCAATAAACGACCTAAAGAAACATCTTTAAAACCCAAATAGGCTGTGAAAAACTTAAAATAAAAAGCAAGGCTCTAAACTTAATAACTTTAAAAACTTCAAAAACAGAACAAACCATAAGCTTATAACCAAGAGTTCCAAATGCAAAAGTAAAGAAAATGACCAAACAAAACAAGGCAGTATAATGTCTGCTATTTCAAACATGCTGAAACATACATGTGTATTAATATACATTTTGGAGCACCAGACAGTTTGATGTTCTATTATTTTAGGTTAGCATAGTGGTTTGGAATATGTCTGCTGGTCCAAAGGTTTTGGGTTCATGTGCATCTTCCTGCATTTCAACACTGACCTTGGCTCACAGGTCGACCCATCATCAGATGGGTATAATGTAATTTCCCGAGAAGTAAAAGTGGTCAGTGTGTTGCTGACTACATCATCATCAAGTGTTGACAGGTCTATGAGTCCAACATCATATGCTGAATACGCCACTAGCATAACAAGGATCCTTTACTTTTTGTTTTCTAACTTTACATTTTATCTGAAGCAACTGTTACTTTAATAACAGCTGTGTATTTTTTTTTCTAACTTTACATTTGATCTGAAGCAACTGTTACTTTAATAACAGCTGTGTATTTTTTTTCTAACTTTATATTTTATCTGAAGCAAGTGTTACTTTAATAACAGCCTTTTTTTTTTTTAAAGCTGTCTTTACTATCACTGCCCATTTTTACCCGTTTTAGGGCGGTGCTAGACGGAAAGGGGGGGGGGTGAGTCTCAGGATTTAAGGATGCATGATGATTGCAGTCGCCACAAACTGTGCAGTTCAGGATTTTATTTTTAAAATGATAATGAGCTGGCACAATGCTGAGATAAGTAAGACATGCTGACATAAGTATTAAAAACATACAATCAAGCAGTGCCAGCAAAATGAGCATAATTCTGAATGCAGAATAAAGACACGTGTGGTGTGTGTGCATGCTGATACTGACGATATATATACATACACACACACACAAGCATACAATAAGATTAGAACTTTGTCATCAAGTGAAAGCGTACACATCCAGGATGTCCCATCACATAAAACTGTACCAACTTATCACATTAATTAATTGTCAAATTAGCATACTACTCATATGCACAAATTCAATGACTCCCTTCTAAAAGAGGAAAAACACACCAACAAATTGTGGCACAGTTGAAAGCTGCGGTGATGAGAATGATGACACAAAAATCCAAACGAAAATGTTCCACATCTCATAATTTGATCATTCTGTACTGCCACAAAATTATGGCTGCGACGTTTCTCTCTTTTCTACATCTCCCATTTCTAATTCTATACGTGCTACACAAATGTCTCCATCCTTGCTGATTTTTTTGCCATCACTGTCATCAGGGCTACTAAAAACATCGTCGCTCTTCCAGGATCGCTTCTCCTCTGGTTCTTTTTTAATAAGAGCCCTTTTTTCCGAATTGACGCTGCCGGCTTTATCTGTTTTTCCAGCGCGAGTGTGGCTGCTGCCTTTGGAGCTCAAGGAACTTAATGAAGATGATTTATGAATACCTCCCACCGCTCCTCGGGAGTCGTCATCAACTTTTTCATTATCGTCAGTTCTCTCACTGGTGCCACCACAGAAATGAAGGCAGGTATCTGACACCAGCATGATGGTAGCTTCGTTTGGGTGGTTGTATTCGATGCTGGAGTTCAGCTCTGGTTCTTCTGGGTTAGGGGCCACCACCCGACCAGTTTCTGCAGCTGGGTGGAGAGACTCCTGGCTGCCACCAACCTGAAGAGAGACCCCCCAAAAAAATGAGACAGGTACAAATTACGCATCCTATGATTTCTTCTTCCCCATATGGGTTCCAGGGTCCTATTTTACGGGTCAAGGAGAAAAGGCCCACTGCCCCCGCAACAAGCAGTTGACTTATAAGAACAATTCGAGCACCTAGGACAGGGGTTCTCAACCTGTGGGTAGTAACCCTTTTTTGGGGTTGAACGACCCTTTCACACAGATCATCAGGATCCCTGTGTGGGTTCCGGGGCCCTATTGTAGGAAAAACAAGAATAGAACCACTGACTACCCAAAAGCATGTCGTAAGAGTCGACTAGTTGGGAGCTTCCTTCAGAGTCAGAGTACATCTGCCTGAGAGGCGAGGAACCAGCAGTCTGCATAGAAATGAGTCAGATCTGTAAAAAGGATGCACATGCAACACTCAGGTTCTGGAACAGGACTGCAGTCTGAAAGTGGATGAACAACCAGAACTTTCTGCCAGAGTTTACAGCTGGCGAACACAAAGAAGAAAAAGAAGGAGATCATCAGGAAAACACACATACACTGAAGTTACGAAGTAGCAAGGAAAAAAAATTATATGGTTGAGAGCTGCCACAACATGAAGAACTGTATTAAAGAGTTGAGGCATTAGGAAGGCTGAGAGCCACTGATATAAGACACTGAGGGCAGTGAAGAGTGTCTGTAGGCAAGGTACATGTCTTTCTTGCCTGTCTGCCTGCCTGGGCTGCTCATTTTCTTGAAGCCTCTCAGGTTGCTGCTAAATGACCCCAATAACTATACCAGGGGTGGTGTATTTTTAGCAGGTACCCTCCTCTTGGGGAGCCAGGGAAGCCTACTGTCTAGATGCCTGCCTCCCTGTTACAAAATAAACCCTGTACTAAATATTTCACAAATAATTCAGTATAGTAGTCAGAGTAAAAGTCATAACACATAGCAATGCATGACAGGTCTCACAGCAATAAAAGGGGGGATCTACCCGGCAAAGTGGTCAAGCCATCTGCCTCGCGCTCTGAAGGTTATGAGTCTGTTTTATGGTGGTCGTGTTGTTCAGTTCACAAGTGCAATTTTAATGCAGAACAGTGGGGATTATTGCTGGAACTAGTGCTCATGCTTTGAGCAATGCTCTCAGCATGTGCAGCAGGCAGTTTGCCATTCTGTGGAGAAGGACCGAGCCTTATGAGATAAAACCCAGTGATGTTCTTCTTCTTCTGCCTTGCTGACAGCTATTCAGCAGTTAATACGCTTTTTGTTTTGACTGAGGCTGGAACAGGGGAGATGGTCTGTTAGCAGCATAGACTACATTGCTGGAGTACAAGCTCAGCATCTTCAGGTGCCACGCTGCAGAACAATAAATACTTCAGACTCTCAACTGACATTCATTATTAAGTCACTGGCTACTTTATCCCTTACCTGCATGCCATAAGCTCGCAGGATGTCCAGTTTGCACATGGGGCATGACCTCTGGTCCAGCAACCATGGGTCTACACATGACTTATGAAAGACATGGCTGCAGGTTCAACAGTAAAAGGACCAGAAAAAAAAAAAAAATTAAAATTAAGCTAATACTACACAAACAAAAACTGATACAAAAGTAATTCCTAGATGCTTGCCTGCCAGCCCGATCTCTGGTTGGGAGCTGATATTTTAAAAGGGTCCCAGGATGATCTGGCTAAAACAGGTACCAGATCAAGTCCTGCAAGTAAAGGTAGCCAGTGTGATACTGATGACAACACTGGTCTATAAAAATATGAGTCTAGCATCGTATGGGCCACTGGTGAGCTAGAGGTCCTAATTTCACCAATTGTCTTTTTACACAACAACTGAACGCAAAAATTCGACCAGACAAATCAAGAAACAGGACCAAACTAAATGAAAGTTTATTATAAAAAAATACAAGAGTTTTAAAAAATATTATGATCTCATAACTTGAAGGAACACAGAGGTTCTTTTTCACGCCAATGGTCCATCCAGGGCATACAGTCCTAGACCTGCATTGTTATAAACCAATCAAAATGATGGGTCAAAAGACACAGATATCGCAACCTAGTTGTAAACCAAAATGCAGCATACCAACTATCCTTTCGAATGATGAATTAGGTTGTAAACATTCTGCCAGCCAGCTTTACTTCCCAGAACACTTTCTGGTAAACCTGGCAGCCCAGGTCAATTAAAGATCTGTCAAAACTGGGATACACAAATGAGACAAATATGAGATGGACTTGGATGACAAGTTTCAATCATGTAGCAGCTACCACCATCAGTATGGGAACTCTTCACTGACTACGAAGAACAGGGACAGAGCACACACGGAAATGTCCAGAGTGCAGTGATGTCAATTTTTCATTGAGTCACTTATACTTCTTCTCTATGTTCACTGGCTGTAAACTCTGGCTGAAAGTTCTGGGTCGTTGTCCATTCCTGCACTTTGGTTTTGATCAAGAACTTGAGTCGTGCGTGCACATTCCTTTTACACATCTGTTTTATTTGTATGCAGACTGATGGTTCATTGTGTCTGAGGTAGATGCACTCTGACTTTAAAGGAAATACCCTGAATTAGTCACCTCCTTGTTAGGGAGTAGTGGGTCTACTCTTTGTTCTCCAAAACGCAGGCTTAGAACCCACACGGGTCACATTCATTGACACCAAGGTCTGAAAGAGTTTAACAGTGACACCATGGGACAGATGTAATTAATTAAACCAATAACATGGGCCCAGTGCTGGCAATAGCTAAATACGATAGAGCTTAGAGCCTCATCAGGTCTAAATCTGGCCCTGCATAGGGGTTAATATGTGTAATATCTGTGAAAGAAGACAGTAAGAACATCATATCTTCAGAATGTCAAATAAACGTATGGTGAGTTGTTTCGTACTGAAAGAGTTAAACTCCTAAACACAGGGGAAGTAATCAATGAATGTGTTCCTCAACCTGCTTATACCTGCAGCACATCAAAACAGGGCAAATTCTTTCACGGCCAACCTGACATCTGCTGCTTAAAGTTCAGAAGTTAGAAAATCTTTTATACGTCGCTGGAGTGTTGTTTCTAACATAGGAATCACTGCAATAACATTCATTCAATTTACACGTTTAATTTTTATTAATGACATTGCTGAAAAAAGTCTTTTCACACATATGTGAGGTCGGGTGAAGAACCAACAATCAGATAACTCTATAACTCAGAGATGACATTATTTTTAGTGATCTCCAACACTTAGACATTGATTGGACACAAGAGTGACATCAGAAGACAACTTTTTTGTTCCTGCCAAAAATAGGATTATCAATCCAAAGGCTACCTTTATTTGTATCCTCATTTTCAGGGAAATAAATGCCAAAGTTTTAAGCTAAAGTCTTTAACTCTTTGAGTCCCAGGGGGTTTAGCATCACAGGCCCAGGAAGTAAAAAGAGTCATAAAATCGGCACATCATGCGTTCATTGGGCTTCTAGGTAGGAACGTATGTACGTATGATGCGTTCCTTGGGACTCAAAGAGTTAAATGACGAATATCACTTGTACCTGTTTGATTCTCATCCTTGAGGTGTTAATCCTACAGACTATACAATACTGGGGGGGGGGGGGGGGAGGAGGAGGAGGACTTCCTACCCTACCCTGTTACATGATTAGGCAGACATTTTTGGTGGCCCACCTGGTGGGCCATGGCCCATTGGTTGAAAAACACATAAACTCACCGGCATGGTAGGATTCTGATGACTTCGTGGAATTTATACGACTCAATGCAGATTGCACACGGGTCATATTCACTATCCAGTTCCTGAAAGTAACAACCATTGAAACATTTGTAAGTTCTCCTAAAAATATGAAAGGATGATGGGAATGTTAAAAAAAAAGAGAGAGAGAGATGGCGAGAGAGAGAGAGAGAAGAGAGAAGTAGGGACAAATTACCAGAAAGGTTGCAGTGCCTTTCTATGTGGGAGGAGTGGTTGGCCGAATGGTTAAAACATTGGACTCTCATGCAGAAGACCAGGGTTGGAATCCTCAGCAAGGCTGTGGATTTTTTGTGTCAAGGGCAAAATAAAATACTTAAATGCAGTCATGGTGACAGCACTAGCCATGCGGCCTTAAATCATCAGGCTCAAAAGACCCCCTCTGCCTGTACCGCAGAAGTGGTATATAAAGGCAGTAATTGGCTCTTGGCCTTTCTATGTTTTAGAAGTTACCATAATGGTTTTAATATCTGTCTACGTTTCACAAGTTACCAGAAAGGTAACTTCTGGCTTATCTGGCTCCATTTCGTAAGTTATTAGAAAGGTTTCTGTGTCACCCTAGATTTCACACGTTATCGTAAAGGTTTCAGCGTCTCTACATTTCACAAGTTATCAGAAAGGTTTCCATGTCACTCTACATTCCACAAGTTATCATATCAGTGTCAGTCTACATTTCTCAGGTTACCAGAAAGGATCAAACAGGCATCTGAGTTTAAATATCTGGGAACTACATTTACCGAAGATGGGAAATTGGATAAAGAAATTAACATTAGATGCAGTAAAGCAAACCAAGTATTGGGACAGCTAGCTCCCCTCTTACAGCATAAGACAATCCCAATCAGCACAAAGAGACATCTTATTCAAAGCATATTTATTCCAACTCTGTGCTACCAGTGCCAGACATGGTCATTCACAACAAACCATAAAAGAAAATTAGTAACCACGGAAATGAGATGTCTGAGAAGGGCTGTAGGAGTGACCATAAGAGATAAGATCAGGAATGGGATCATAAGAGAACAAGTCGGCACAGAACCAATTCTGGATTACATACAAAGACAGCAAGTGAAATGGTTTGCCTACTTAGAGAGAATGCCTTGTGACACCATGCCATACAAAGCATACATGGAAAGAGAAGAAGGACGAAAAGCACGGGGTAGACCAAGAACAACATGGAAGGATAACATCAGAGAAACTCTACAACAGCACTATGTGCCTATGGTCGAGGCAGCCAGAAGAGCTAGAAACAGAACCTTATATCTCCCTCGACACCCACAGCGGTAAAAGAGGAAGTGAAGAAGAAGAAGAAGAACCAGAAAGGTTTCAGCGCCTGTCTATATTTTGTAGGTTATTAGTAAGGTTTCAGTGTCTTTCTAAATTTCACAAGCTATCAGAAACTTTCCAATCAGTCATCATTTCACAGGTTACCAGAAAGGTTTCAGTGTCTGTCTACATTTAACAAGTTATCAGAAATGTTTCAGTGTCTGCAAAGCCCACAAAATCAAGAAAGAAAGTGTAAATATTTCACTGAGGACCTATACTTTATTAGGAATTAGTCAAGGAAGACAGAAAAAGAGGAACAGAAGCTAAGAAAAGAAAGAGGAGGAAGAAGAAGAGAAGCAGCAAGAGAAAGAGCTGCAGCAGCAAGAGACAGAGCTGCAGCAGCAAGAGACAGAGCTGCAGGAAGATACAGCTGCAGAAAGAGACAGAGCAGCAGCAGCAAGAGACAGAGCTGCAGAAAGATACAGCTGTAGGAAAAGACAGAGCTGCAGGAAGGGTCAAAGCTAAGGAAGAGAAAGAATAGCAGGAACAGACAGAGCTGCAAGAGGAGACCAAGGAAGAGACAGAGCAGCAGAAAGATACAGCTGCAAGAAGAGACAGAGCTGCAAGAATAGACCAAGGAAGAGACAGAGCTAAGGAAGAGAAAACTGAGAGAAGAGAAGAGTAGCAGGAGAAGACAGCTACATGAAGAGACAGAGCTGCAGGAAGTAAAAGAGTTGGAGAGAGAGACAGAGCTGTAGGAAGAGACAAAGCAGCAGGAAGAGACAGAGCTGTAGAAAGAGATAGAGCTACAGGAAGAGACAGCTAGGGAAAAGAAAGTGTAGCAGGAACAGAAAGAGTTGCAGGAACAGAAAAGAGTAGCAGGGAGAGATAAAGCTGGTGAAAGAGACAGAGCTTAGGAAGAGACAGGGCAGTAGGGAGAGATAGAAGCAAGAACAGAAAGAGTAGCAGGGGGGAAAAAAGGACCTTCAGGAAGAGACGGAAGCAGGAAGAGAAACAGCAGCAGGAAGAGACAGGAGCAAGGAGAGGCAGAATGGCAGGAAGAGCCAGAGCAGCAGGAAGAGACAGAGCAGCAGAAAGTGACAGAGCTGCAGAAAGAGTAGCAGGAAGTCATAGGAGCAGGAAGAGAAAAAGCTGCACAAAGAGACAGAAGCATGAAGAAAAAGACCAATAGGAAGAGACTAATGCAGGAAGAAAAAGAACTGCAGGAAGAGACAAATGCAGGAAGAGACAGAGCTGCAGCATGAGACAGAAGCAGGAAGAGAAAGTGCAACAGGAAGAGACAGAAGAGGGAAGAGAAAGTGCAACAGGAAGAGACAAATGCAGGAAGAGACAGAGCTGCAGGAAGAGACAGAAGCAGGAAGAGAAAGTGCAACAGGAAGAGACAGAAGCAGGAAGAGACAAATGCAGGAAGAGACAGAAGCAGGAAGACAAAGCAGGAAGAGAAATAACAGCAGGTAGATAAAGAGCAGCAGAGATTTAAAAAAAAAAAAGCAGGGAGAGAAAGAGGATGAGAAAGAAGATGCAGAAGAACAAATCCACACAAGTATACCTTATCTCCTGTTTTCAGAGTTCGCTGTGGGATTTTAGTGATAGCTTTCTTTGCTGCACAGGTGAGACGTCTCTGGAAATATTAAAAACACACTGTATTTTACAGGTAAATATGGGCAACATTTTGAATGGAAGGGAGTAAAAGAAAAGTAAAGGATATTTTTACACAAGTGGTGCAATGGGCATATGATATTACACTCATATTTTTAAAGACCAACCGGGACTCGGTCAGTGATGTGGTCAACATAATCCCAGCCACATTTTTTACCCAGGATATTACCAGGTGTTAACTATAGAACCATTATTCTTATACATGATTTCACCTCCTGGAGTGTATGATTCAACCTACGTGAGTAGCTGTGTGTATGATTCCACCTATTTGGTAGTTGTGTGTATGATTCCCTCCTTGAGCAGCACATGTATGATTCCACCTCCATGAGCAGCATGTGTATGCTTTCACCACCTCCTTGAGCAGCTGTGTGTATTATTCCACCTCTTGGAACAGCTGTGTGTATGATTTCACTTTTTTTTTTAAACAGCTGTATGTATGATTCCACCACCTCCTTGAGCAGCAGTGTGTATGATTTCACCTTTTTTGAGCAGCCGTATGTATAAGTCCACCTTTTGGAGCAGCTGCGCATACCATTCCACCTCTGGGAGCAGCTGTGCATACCATTCCACCTCTTGGAGCAGCTGTGTGTACAAATCCACCTCTTGAAGCAGTGTTTCTCCCAGCAAGTTACCAAATATCTAATCGCATTATCTTTGTCTGTCCCTTATGAACTCCTACAGCTGAATACCAGTACCTCATGTTTATCACAGAGGAGTTATGAGGCAAGGTATCCTTTATCAAAGGAGAAGTAAGGTGACTTCTTCCTCTATGCTTATGCAACATCCTTGGGCAAGGTGGAGTCCTGATTAGACACCTGTTTCAGGGTAAGGTGAAACTATGGGAGCAGGTGGGGGATTAAGTTTGAGAGCTGCTGACCTTCTAGGCTCAAACTGGACTCAAACAGCCATTTTCATACTCATAATTCTAGATCACTGACTGCATTTGGGTAGGTGGACCTTCATCATTTGTGATGGATAAAGAACACACACTTACAGGACAATCAAACTGCATTCCCAAACCCAAAGATGCTGAGACAGAAATGTCACCCAACAAAAACTTACAGCAAGCCTCTCCTTGGCATGGGAGTAGCGGAACCTCTGGACGTAGTAGAAAATCAGCCAGGCCAGGGAGACCACCATCAGCACCACGAAGGAGATGGACACAAACAGCACAGACGTTTTGCTGATGTTGTTCTGCATGGCTGTGGTGAAGGAGTCTATCGAACCTGGCTTCATCTGCATGTAAACTGTGTATCCCTTCTCGATAAAACCAACGATCTCTTGGCCTTCTTCTCGTAACAACATTACTGCAATGCTTCCTGGTGCTGGTTGGTGAGAAGCAAAAATATTTATGTATCAGTTAAAAGTAAATAATGTCAAAACAACATAAATGAGATACCTTAGCAGAAGGGCTGAAGTAACAAAAAAAGAATTCTTTTTTTTTTTAACTAGAAAAAAACTAGGATTGAAACCAATCACACAATTCATTAAAGATAAACAAATAAGACGTTTTAGCCATCTGAAAACAATGGCCTTGTACCAATTATCACAGGGAGCCACACTGAAGAAATCCCATTACTGAGCACACATGGGAATGTCCGATGTGTAGTGACGAATCTCTGATACCAATACTATTGCGTGACATGGGAGTAAAGCATGATGAAGCAAGTCTATGCTGTCTTCAAGGCCAAGATAGGAGGCATTATAACCCACTTCTCATGGGAACAATTAGCAGAAGTACCCTGAAGTGGTTGCTGCATCAGAGGACTGATCATACATGAAAATTCCCAAATAGGTAGTGACATCAATTGTGATAATATAACACTGAAGAAACAATAAGCATGTAGCCAGAGGAACCGCCCCCCCCCCCCCCCCCCCCCGCTTCCTCCCTCCCCAGGGTTCAAGGACCTTAGCAATATTTAGATCAACTTACACAATGCATTACAAAGAGTGCACAGATATTCCTTAACACCCCCCCCCCCCAACTAATACTTTCTGTTAGAGTTTATAGTTGATGACCAAAGAAGAAGCAGATAAAACCCTGACTATGGAAATTAAATCCTGGTATGTTGATGACTGTAAAATATGTTCCCAAACCTCAAAACCAAAGAGGCGCCCACACTCTATGTAATAGAGCATGGTTATTCAACTGGAAGCCCACTTTCCAAATCCATCCTGTGAAGACCTAACAAGTGGCTGACTGATCACTGCCAGCTGTACTGTATTCACAGCCTATTTTGCACTGGGGCTTGGGCCTTCAGCAATCCCAATTTTAATCATTTGGGCCCCTGAGACGCCATTACAGTGCTGACCTGGTAAAGAGAGCTCACGTGTATGTCTGTGTGCGTATGTGTGACTGTGCGTGTCTGTGTATGTGTGGGTGTTGCTTATGTCAATGTGTGTCTGTTTCCCTGCCTGCGTGTGTGTATGTGTTTGTGTGTGCCCATGACTGTATGTGTGTGTGTCTGTATGTGTCTGGGTTGTATGCGTGTGTGTATTAGAGCGTGTGTATGAGTGTATGTATGTATGTATGTATGTATTATGTGAGTTTGTATGTATGTATGTATGTATGTATGTATGTATGTATGCATGCGTGCGTGCGTGCGTGCGTATGTATGTATGTATGTTTTTATGTATGTATGTATGTATGTATGTATGTATGTATGTATGTATGTATGTATGTATGTATGTATGTATGTATGTATGTATGTATGTATGTATGTATGTATGTATGTATGTATGTATGTATGTATGTATGTATGTATGTGTGCATGTTCGTATGTATATAGATGTATGTGTGTACTGGGTGCCTATGTGTTTGTGTGTAAGTGAGTGATTTGGCTTGTGGGTGTGTGTGTGTTCGCACGTAAGCGTGCGCACATATTTTACCACCCATGCTTTTGTTTTTGACTTTATATATATAATAAGCATATTATTACATAAATATAACATGCTTCATTGATGAAATACAACTGCTGTGCGAAAGATGGAAGTTTGGAAGGGCCGAATGTAAGACAGACCTGCATGTCTAATTTGTAACCTTTTGAAAATAAAGTTTGTTCGTTCGTTCGTTCGTTCACAAGGGACCCAAGAAATTTTCTTCTTGTCAGAATTTCATCTTATTCAGTTACAATTAAGCAAGAAATGTTGCCCGTGGATAATCAAATTGTTCTTCACAACAGAAATTTGCAACATCAGAAATTGCCTTGAGCAGTCTCTACTGTATTGAGTTAACCATTTCAAAATAAACAGGTTTTTTTAAATTTTGAGATACAATGTTGTTTATAAGCCAGTTTTATTTGATGTTCAGATCATATGCCAGGCTTTTCTTCCTTCTGGTCAAGAGTTTTCTGGGAATATTTCTGTTAACACATGAGTTTGTCTTCTTCAGTGATCACCCTTAGGAACACAGTCGTCAGCTATGTTGCAACATCTAAGTCTTTTTTTTAAATCTTGTTCCAGAACCTAAGTGTTGCGTACACATCCGTTTTACAGGTCTGACTTACCTGTATCCAGACTGTTGGTAGCCTTTCAGGCAGTTGCATTTCGACTTCGAAGGAAGCTCCCAATTAGTTGACTGCTATGACATGCATGCTGGGGAGGCAGTGGGTGTATTGTTTTGTTCCCAACATGGGGCACAGGAACACACAGGGATAAAAGCACAATTAGGCACAAACTCTTAAATGGGAAGCCGCCATTGAGTAGAAGCTAGACGCGCGGCTTTGGTTTCAAAGGTCATGGGTTCAAATCTAAATGGAGCTGGACATTTATTCAAAATAACCCAGACTTACAGGTCAACCCAGCCTACAACAGGTACCAGGTAAAGTTCTCAAAGTTCTAGGAAATACAGGTGGCTGGTATGACACTGACCACATCATCACCCATCGAGTGCTGACTGACCTATAAAATATAGGTCTTGCCCTTTATGCCTGCAGGCATGGAAAATAAAGGTACTTTACAAACATTTTTTAACATGCTTGTTTGGCAAACATGAAACAAGATTGGCTAGCAGAGTATCTTGTCTTGTAAACTGAAGCATTTTGGCCATATCAAGAGCACATTGACTGGAAAGAACAGTTGAAGAAGGCATGGTTAAAGGAAAATAAGGACAGAGGCCAACCAGCAGGAAAGATACAAGTGGGTACAGGATATAAGTTACACCTTGGGTATGAAAGTGCAGGAAGTAGGAGATCTAGTGAGAAGCTGAGTTTATTTCAAGAGAGAGCGACTTCTGCACAGGACCTGCTGCAAGATGATGATTATATACTTTGGTGCAGAAAATGTTTTTATCGCTTATTGTAGTATTTTGTTTAAATATATATTTTTACCATGGAAAAAGTGAACAGTATATATTGTCATTTCTTGATTAAATAAAAAAAAAAAATATTCACGAGCAAATAAAATGAAGGAAGCTGCAGGAGATGTGGAAGCTGCTGCTTGTGAGTCAAAGCCATCTAGTTTAGCCCCGCTCCGCGCCACGCATAGCGACGCAGGAGATACTTTCAGTGGTGGCGGCAGTCACCGGAAGTCCACAATTTACATGTGACTGAGGCCCTGTTAGGGTATATTTTTGGTCTCGATAATTTGGGACCGTTATTCGGAGGATAGCCGTAATTACTAATAAACTACACACATTCATTAACTGGTGCCTGTGCAGAATAAAGGGAATTAAATGGTATGGTAGAATCACAAATGTAGAATTTTGGGAGAGAACTAAGCAAGCTCCAGTGGACCAAGAGGTGAAGAAAAGCTGCTGGTGATAGATAGGACACACATTGAGAAAACCTGAGAACAATATAACTAGAATGTCTTTGCACTGGAACCAACAGGGACATCGGAATAAAGGAAGGGCCCAACAAAACAATGAGAAGGCAGCTGGAGAATGAAGTTAAATGGGGAGGACATGGGGAGAGCTGCATGCGACAGCAAAGGATAGAACAACTTGGCATGAGTTGGCTGAGGGCCCTTCGGGGCTAGAAAGGTAGAAGAACCCTATATTTGTTGCAAAATAAGTGAGTCTTATACTTGAAGAAATACTGTATTAGTTCAACTACTTATCTCATACAGTAACATTGTTTAGTTCCATCAGACCTAAGTAAGTATTATTATTTATAAGTTGAATGCTTTAGAACATAAGTGTTTAACGTAAGGATGCGTGGGATCAAAAGACATAAATTACACACCTTTATCGTGATCCATTATAATGGGTCCGATTGTCACACTAACGTCATTATATATGACAATAGCAGAGGCATTGTGCTCCTTTGTGGCAACATGTATCTTGTTAGCAAAAGAACAACTGCCCCTTTCCACTAAAGCAATCCAGGTTTCAGAAGGGAACTTTTTGTGACTGTAGGGCGTACACCCGTAGTGGTTGACTACCTGAGTGCCAGCCCTGTCTTCGACATTTACTGCATGAATGACAACTCCGGATATACTAGCAATCAAGCTCTGCTTCCCGAAATATCCTCTTAACGGTTTCGAATATTCTTTCTTGGTGGCATAATCCACGTACGATATATTCATCAAAGCCCACTGAAAGTTTGTTTGATGAGGCGGTGTTTGAAGGAGTTGAGGGTCATCACCGCGAGCAAACGGTAAAAACATCGCCATAAACAACACGAAGACGACCATCATCTTGTCACGATCCAACCACCATTTTGAAAATTCACAAGACATCAACATCGACTCGGACATTCTGTTGCGTTTAGTTCACAAAATACCGCCGAAATTCATTGAACGTTGCTGAAATTGTCACAGATTAAAGCGATCCCGGTAAATAAACAAGTTCATATGGGTGAAGTTGAGGTGAAGCAGTGAGAAAACGGTTAAAATGTCGCAGTTGTTGTCAGTGACCTCGGACTGTTTGTAACACTTTCACTCTAGCAGACTATCTACGTACGTCATGGAACAGGCTGGCGCCCTCTGTAAACAAACATGGGCCCTTGAGATCAGACGTTGGCCTTTTTGTTATGTCGGTTCCAGGGCCCTATTTTAGGACAAATAAAAGACCTACTGCTACCCCGACAAGCATGCCGTAGGAGGCTACTAATTATGTATGTTTCCTTCGAAAACTCAATCCGACTAAGATGAAGATTGTCAAAAAATGTTGTTGCAATCGGTCACAAACTTTTGGAGTTACTGAATGTGTTAAGAATTGACATCCCAGCATTCCCATACAATTTTGGCACATCATTAAAGACCATTTTAGCCATTCCTGTTTTCTTTTCAGATTTGTTTTACTTCTGCCCTCATTTGTTACTACGTGTCCAGGACAGGAGAAACTTGTTACTTGTTCTAATATCTGCCTGTTTACTGTCATGTTCACTTTTTCGTAGTTTTTGTTTTTCGAATATTAATGTCTAATCCATCAAGACATAATAAATGATAATAACTAGACAGGGAAAGGATATAAACTCCGGCCACATACAAGTTGATAATATGAAAATCAAACGAACGGAAACATAAGTACTTGGGTGCAAACTTCAACTGCTCCAACATGCTGAGAGACGAAATACTGTCCAGATTACAATCTGGAAATAAAGTTTACTAAGCCCTTTTACATCTGCTAAAGTCAACGTGTCTGTCTCGCAACACCAAGATAAAAATATATAAAACGTTGATAAGACCAGTCGTTTTATATGACTCTGAAACTTGGAGTACAACTGAAAGAGATGAAGCCTTATTACGTGTTTTTTTTTTTTTTTTTTTTTAAAGAAAACAGAGTCTTACGACGAATCTTTGGACCCATCAAAGATGCAAACTGCGGGGAATGGAAAGTGAGAAGCCATAACGAAATTCATAATCTATTTAAATCACCACTGATCACTGGCATAATGAGAGCTAATAGACTGAAATGGTTGGGGCATACTGAAAGAATGTCAGATGACAGAGAACTAAAAACTGTATACACAAGGGAGATGAATGGTGGTAGACCACGAGGCAGACTAAGAAGAAATGGGGAGATAATGCCCAGACAGATCTGCAAACACATATTGTCACCAACTGGAAAAAGAAGGCCAACCAGAGAGATGAATGGAGGCGGGTGCTATCTGCAGCAATGAACCTCAAAGGCTCGGAATGCTGAAGAAGAAGAAGAAGTGTATGTCTAATCCATACTCTACCCGTTAACGTGATCAACTATAGTCTGTTTCTAAAGTCGTGTCCAACTTTAACAATCTGTAACTCAGTAACTGTTCAGTAAAAGTTGTCGAAATTTTCTATTCGCCCTGTTTATAATCATGTCCTTGTACGTTTTTCTTTTAAATGTAAACAAACATATCGTTTTCATTGTGCCCCTTTTGCGATACCTAAAAAACAAACACCGATTCAAAGCAAACAACCAGCATACTTACAGATAACTGAATAAAGGGAACTTTTCAGAAACATCAAACTGTATGGGTTTCATAGGCGTTTCACTCTCATGCAGTTATCTCGAACATTAGCTTCCCGCGATTTTACCATTTTTCATGGTATGATTGATAGGCTGTCAAAATAATCCCCTCGCGTCGATGCACATGTGAACTTATTTCCAAAGAATCCCCTGATTTCTAAATTAGGCGCGTGTCAGTTATTGTATATTTTTATTTTCTTAGGGGTACACACATTATTAGTCAAACAAAGATCAAAGAAATTTGCAGCTTGAATAAAAACAGCAGCAGCTGTGCAATTGTAAATTATGAACTCATAAGGACATTGGAAATCTAAGGCCACGTGCAAAAATTCATATTAATCCGCACAGGAGTTTTCGAGATATTTGATAACTTGTGAGGGTACGACTTTTGAAACACAAAGTTTAGCCAGTTAGCCAAGACAGTTGCCAATGGTGTGACCAACGGCGTACGTAAGCGATGGAGCCATACATGAGCTGGGTAAAGAGATGGGAACCAAACAGGATCCTGGACTTTCCGATGTGATATGGCTGCCATTCAACGTGAGGGACTCCCCCCCCCCCCCCCCTCCCGTCTCTTTACCCTACACCACAATATTATATCATTCAATTATTTTAATAATATAATTAGTGTGTTGTATTTGTTTTATATAACACGAAGTAAAAGTTGGAGGGAGGCCTCTTTTTACGCAAACGGCATATGAGGCATATTATGCTTGTTTTATATTTTTTATATTCCCGTGTGGGTTCCAAGGCCCTGTTAAAGGGAAAACAAGAGTAAACCACTGCCTACCCACAAGCAAATTGTAAGAGTCGACTAACTGAGAGCTTCCTCCAGAGCCGGAGTGCATCTGCATGAGAGGCAAGGAACCAGCAGTCTACATACAAATGTGTGACAGATCTGTAAAACGGATGCATATGCAACACTCAGGTACTGGAACAGGCCTGCAGTTCAAAAGTGGATGAACAACCAAAACTTTCCTCTAGAGTTTACAGCTGATGAAGGAGAATAAGAAGAAGGATATTTTTTTTATAAACGATGGATGATGTTGTCCAAGTCACGTCGACAGCCTTCACTTTCTGTGACATTATCGAATGCTTATTTTAGGCTGGATCGATCCCTGAGCCTAACAAACGTTTAAAAAAACAATAGCAAGTCTGATTCGATGCTGATTTGAATCGACGACCTTCGGGCCCGCAGTCCAGTTTGGGGGTAGGAGGGGGAGTGGTGCAAATTTCCAGGGGGGTATCAAGTAAATATGAAATTGAGACATATGTATTTGCAATACTCTGTTATTTAAGATTTTAGTTAGTTTAATTATAAATAATTTTAAACTACACGTATTTATTAAACAAACAGCCAAGGAGCTTATTGATTTAATGTTTGCACATCTACCTTTAAAAATCTTAACTAATAGTATAAGACGTATATTAATAATACATTAAAAACACATTCTGACCAAAATGTATCCTCATACTTTCTGTGTTGTCTCTTCTTCTCCTTCTCATTTTGTTCAATTTTTTTTTTTTAATGGAAGGGAGGTGGGGGTTGGGGAAGGTGGGAGGGGGGCACGAAGTGTCTTCCCAGAACACCCGACCACTGCATTATTTGACATCAGTGAGGTGGAGAAATGGGGGGGGGGGGGGGTGGAGGTGTGTCAAATCATTGAACTGTGACATTAACATACAATAAACGGTGAGATTGGCTCTCATCAAACCATTAAAGCTTAGAAGACCTCCGTGGCAATTTAAAATCTACCCGCCTACTTCATGATCTTTGTTTCGTTTCTGTTTAAACGCACGGCAACAGAATAGCGATGACGTCATTCTACAGACGCAGTCTTTCGTCGGTTAATAGTCTCGACTTACATCCTGGTGCTCACCACAAAATGTCTAAAAAAAATGTGCCTGTACAGACCACAAAATTTCTATTACTATAGAGGTGAACAAAAAGGGATGCTGAAAACAAGGAACGGTACTGCGTAACTTTGCGTAAAACAAAAACAAAAATGTCATCAAGTATTGGTCCTTCGGTTAGTTTGACGTTAGTCCCCCTGTACCCCACCAACATAATCACTAGCTCACTTCTGATTGGTAGTACCAGAGCCCCGTAAACTTCGCACACGGTTACGGGGGAGTTCCTCAATGCCGTTGATATCACGTGTTGTAAATTTAAGCCCGCCAGAGCTTTCAACACTCCAAAAACACGGAGAAACCGGGTCTAACACAACTCCCCCTAGAGAGTGCTGCAACCTATGTCACATGCATCCTCTTTCTCGGAATGAAAACGTGAATGCAAGACATCGCAGAAAAAAAAAACCAGAGCTGGACACACCCGTAACCTTAAGGAAAGTCGACCAGCCTGACAAACTTGTGAATGAAAAGTGACTTACTCTATTTGGGGAGACTAACGTCAAACTAACTAGTCCTTATTCGGCCCCATCCCCCCCCCCCTTTTTTTTTTTACACACACACTGTAACAAACCAACGGAATATTTCAGTCCGGCAAGAGTTAATTGCATCTTGTGGTTGAAAGAGTTGCGCACTTAAAATAAACATAGTTGAGTATAGACGCGAGAAGAGTAGAAAATGTACAAAGGCGCACATAACTTTTGACGTTTTCGTAGTGTTACTAGGAGAAACCCTTAGAGCTAGATTCGTCACTACACCAAACGACAGCCCCAGCCATTTCATCGGCCTACTACCAAGAACTAATATTAATAATAAAATCATACGAATTCAGGTGAGATTTAGAATGGTAGGGAGTAGCTGAGATCCCCTGTAAGCCTTAGCTGTATCCTGAGTTAATTTATCGAGATCCTACCATTCTATATTCTACCATTGTATAAATATTCCGTGACTTCATCAACCTTGATACTTGTCCGTTGGACAATTTACTAGTCCCTACATTTATAACTTTCTTTAGTCTACTATTCACAGTTAGGACTATACAATAGCGAACCCTCCTTCCCTCTGTCACCTTTTCGGAAAATATTCATTCGGTTTCCTTGCGTAAAGATTTTACAGTATAAACCATCATCCTGTGCCATGTGGTATCATCAGTTGGGTATACATTACATTGCTTATGTTTATTATGTTATGCAACATACCATTTGAGTAAATGTCGTCAGCTGTGTGGGCATATAGGGTTGGCCTAAGTTTTATAGACCAAGTGGTACCTGGGCGTTGATGTGGTCAACATCACACCTGCTGCCTTTACTCCCCATTACTATACCTGGTGTCCATTCAAGGCGAAGTCGACCTGGGTCTGTTGGGACTTGAACTAACGACTGTCCAATCCGCATGC